CACTGCACCTGGCCTCCAGAGCGTTTTAAAATGCAACAGGTGATTCCAATTTGCAGCCAATTTTGAGAACCACTGTTTCGGGCAAAAGATCTCATTTCTTTTCAAATGGAAGCTGGCTTCTATTGTTACAGGGCCCCTTCAAGAAGCCTCCCTAACGAACCACACGTCTCCTCCATCTGTCCATGGGTCTGTCTGCAGCTGATGCCAGTACTTTTTATGTCTTAAGATACAGACAGGTTACCTGGGGGTGTTGTTAATATGCAGATTCAGATTCAGTCTGGGGTGGGGTAGAGACTCGGCATCTCTAAGTCCCAGGTGCTGCCCTGCTGCTGGACCACAGGCCATCCACAGCAGGCTTGACAGGGCATCTCCTGAGCTTCTGCATGTGCACCTTTGCAGCTGTTCTCCAGCTGTTTTGCCTTCCTTTTCTGCTTCTGTATTAACCATGCTTCTCCTTTCTGTAAACATGACGCTTTAACATCTGCCCCGCGTGCATCTGCTCTGGGCAACCCAATATGTCTCCCTCACTGTCCCTCTCCCCCTGGAAGGAGTCCTCCTGGGTGTGTGGTTTTCAAATGAAAACCAACCCAGAGCTCACATCCCAACCAATTCCCTTTTCTGGCTCTCACACTCCAGGTTACTAATCCCTCTGCCCTAATCGCCCAAGGCCAGGTGCCCGACAAATAGGGACAGCCCGTATGCCCCAGAGCCTTCTGAAATGATTTAAACTAGCCAGTCCCGAACTAGCTTACCCTGCCTTGCCCACTCCTTCCAATGGAAACCACAGTAAGGGCTCTTGTCACGTTCTCTCCTCCCTCTGCCTCTTGATCAGCCCTCGTGCTTCCCCCGGTGGCCCTGTGTGGCATGGTGTGGCGTGCCCACTTCTCTTAGATCTGTGAGTCACAAACTCTCTCCAATGGCAATCGTCACCTGATCTATTGACCTCATCAAACCTGAATAAAAATATTCACCAAACCTATTAGAACAACTCCCGTGCTAGAAGGAGAAGCGTGGCTGGTTCCCAACTTGTCTGCATCCTGCCTCCCCTCCCAGTCTTAGTCTGGTCCCTGCGATGCTGCTCATAGTATGAACACGAGACCCTGCATGCACACAGAAAAGAACTCAATCAGTGACTGTGGAATGAACAGGTGAACAAATGTAGGGAGAAAAGTTCTGAACTTGGAGTGTGAGACCTGGCTCTGCCGCCAACAGCTGTGAGAAGTTGACCATGCGACGGCGGCCCCGAGACCCAGTGACTTCATTTGTCTCATCTGTGCTGTTATTTTATAGTGAGACCACACGAACAGTATGTGTTAAAGCCCTTTTCAGCAACATGGTAGCATCCTCCTTTCCCTCTCCCTCTCCTGCTTGTCACTGGTGTTTGGGATTCCAGCCTTGCCCTTCACACACTGCCTGGGAGGTCCTTTCTCTTCCCGAGTCTTTGCATCTTTACCCACAGCTGCTATGGTCTGAATATCTGTGTCCCTCCAAAATTCACATGTTGAAATCCTAACGCCCAAAGTGACGGTACTGGGAGGTGGGGCCTTCGGGAGGTGATTAGATTTTGAGGGTAGAGCTCCCATTAATGGGGTTAGTGCCCTTATAAAGAAGGCTCCAGAAAGCTGCCTCACCTCTGCCACCACGTGAGGACACAGAGAGAAGATTCACCTGTGAATCAGAAAGCAGCCCTCACTAGACACCAAATCCATCAGCACCTTGACCTTGGACTTACATCCCACCCTCCAGAACTGTTAGAAATACATTGCTGTTGTCTATGAGTTACCCAATCCATGGCATTTTGCTATAGCAGCCTGAACAGAGAGACACCAGCTCAGACTCCCTTCTTGAGCTTCATACCTGTCTAACCAAACACTGACAATCCATCTCTATCCTGTTGACCCACCTGTAAGTCATATTTAACTCATTCAAAATCGAGTTCATCCTGCCTTTGCAGCTCCCAAACCAGCTCCTCCCTCATATGTCCTATCACCACACGCGCCCAGAAGGGGGGTGGCATGTGGAAGGAAGCGATCAGGGTGATGGGGATGCAATTAGATGGCAGAGATTTGTGACAAATCTCACCCAGCATGCTCACTCAGGGGGCAGCATCAATCATAAGTCACATCACAGCAGAGCCACGGTGCTTGAGTCCCAACAAGCAGAGAGAAAGAAACAGAGAGAGATGCAGGGAACTCCAACTCGTGCAGGTGGGCTTGGGATCACGGGGCACACCAGGATAGAGCCCAGGCTGGCTTCACTGAGACACCACCCAGAGAAAGGCAGCTGGAGGACCCGAGGTGGGAATGGAGCCCTTGCCACCTTCCTGGAGCTCCAAGACAAGCACCCTCACTAGGGGCCCAGAGGCCATCAGGGCAAAGAGCACTGAAACTTCCAAACTCTGCTGGCCACTTTCCTTCCCAGAGGAGGAGCAGAGAAGCCCACGGGTGGCCAGTGTTCAGTTGGCACAGCTGAAGTGGGCTGCAAAACTCTGTCTCCAAGAATTGGCCGGGGCATCTGATGGGGGCCACGGAGCCTCATCTCCCCTCTCTTGAGCTTAGCCGAGATCAGGCTCAGCAGATCTGCCTAGGTCCCCAGGAGGGCGAGCTTGTTATGGCCGCTGGACACCAGGTTCTCCCCTTTTGAACCAAGGTCATTCCTCCCACCAGGGAGCTTCCATAGTCACAGGGATGTCCCCTGACCCCTGTCCCTACAAATATGTAGAGTGCAAGGGAGCACAGGGCAGGGGTGGGCTCCTCATCCCTGGCAGGGAGCTGCTGCATCTGATCCGAGTTGTGGGACAGCACCGAGTGTGTGCTCCTACTTCCCAGCCTACAGGTTTCCTCTTCTGTGTGTCCTCGACCCCTTAGCAGAGAAGAGCCAATTCACCCTGTCTGTGATGCCAAAACACAAGGGACCTGCAAGTTTTGAACCCTCCTCTCCACCATGACGTGAGATGTTACTGACAGATCCTTGAGATCCTATAAGCTCAACTCCACCACCCACCTGCCTCTGCCGGGCTCAATCCTCCATCTGGCACCTGCAGCACAGAATAGAATAGCCTCCTCCAGGCTGGCTCCACCTCCGCCCCGCCCCCATGTTCCTCCCCTCCCCCCCCCCAAGTGAGCTTTCCAAAAGGCAGATCTTACCAGGTATCACTCCTCCCCCGAAGGCTTGTCAGTCTCTCTTTGCCTTTTCCATTCTCTTCTCCCCAGTTCCTTTCTACATGTGGGTTTCCTCTCCACTTCCA